GGCGGTGGCAAACGGGCTTTCGGTGGAGGTCCCTTAATTATGGGGGCACGTCAAGTGTGAGGAATGTGCCAACATGGGTGTGGGTGACGAATGCGGGCGGTGGCACCAGGGCCTTCGGTGGAGCTCCCTATGAGGCCATGAAACGTGTGAGTGGTGTGACGAAATTTGTGTGGCTGACGCATGCGGACGCTGGCACTGGGGCCTTCGTTGGAGCTCACTATGGGGCCACGAAGCGTGTGGGGGGTGTGACGACATGGGTGTTGGTGACGCATGCGGCTGGTGGCACTAGTGCCTTCGGTGGAGCTCCATATGGGGCCACGAAACGTGTGAGGGGTGTGCGGAAATCGGTGTGGGTGACGCATGCGGGCGGTGGCACCGGGGCCTTCGTTGGAGTCCTGTGGGGCCACGAAACGTGTGAGGGGTGTGACGAAATGGGTGCGGGTGACGCATGCGGGCGGTGGCACCAGGGCCTTCGGTGGAGCTCCCTGTGGGGCCACGACACGCGTGCGGGGTGTGCCGAAATTGGCGTGGGTGACGCATGCGGGCGGTGGCACTGTGGCCTTCGGTGGAGTTCCCTATGGGGCCATGGAATGTGTGAGGAGTGAGCCGACATGGGTGTGGGTGACGCATGCGGGCGGTGCCACTGGGGCCTTCGGTGGGGCTCACTATAGAGCCACGAAACGTGTGAGGGGTGTGCGGAAATCGGTGTGGGTGACGCATGCGGGCGGTGGCACCGGGGCCTTCGTTGGAGTCCTGTGGGGCCACGAAACGTGTGAGGGGTGTGACGAAATGGGTGCGGGTGACGCATGCGGGCGGTGGCACCAGGGCCTTCGGTGGAGCTCCCTGTGGGGCCACGACACGCGTGCGGGGTGTGCCGAAATTGGCGTGGGTGACGCATGCGGGCGGTGGCACTGTGGCCTTCGGTGGAGTTCCCTATGGGGCCATGGAATGTGTGAGGAGTGAGCCGACATGGGTGTGGGTGACGCATGCGGGCGGTGCCACTGGGGCCTTCGGTGGAGCTCACTATAGAGCCACGAAACGTGTGAGGGGTGTGCGGAAATGGGTGTGGGTGACGCATGCGGGGATCGACTACCGCGCGGGGTATATACTCACGCAGCCAGACAATTCCCAGTACAAGGCTGTCCTGGGGCGGCCCGACATGCGCGCCCGCTGGGGCGCGGGCGGCGCGCGCCAGGAGGCTTTCACCAAAGCGATGAAGTTCATAGACGAGCGCTCGTAGCCGCTTGTCTGCTCTGCTCATCGCCGATCGCGCCTCCTCGCGATTTGCTTCGCTGTGCTAGCGCCTGTGCGCATTGATCCTATGTCTGCATGGTGCAATGAAAAACGTAATTGGTTGTTGCATCATATGCGAGGGGCACCCGTCGCACATGGCCAATCCTCTGTGGCGGTTGCAGATATCGCATTCATGCTACCATCACTCAGTTTCAGTTTTGGCTCAAGCCACGTCGGCGGGGCCGCCGAAGCGTCGCAGGACAGACGCCGCAGCGCTGATTGAGTTACACAGAGGTCCATATGTATCTGAGCGGGGTCTTCCAAGCGTCTTCAAATACGTACGCGATCATGGCATGCCAGATATCACTTCACGTAATGCGCATTACAGCGCAAGACAGAGACTGATATGTGGCGAATCGAACCAGTACGGCAACGTGCTTGTCGGCATTGATATGCCATTGAGCGGCGGTAAGAGCTTCGAGAACTGGGCGCGCGCGCCTGGCCCGTACTTGTACTCGTCGGCGAAACGAAGTAAGGGGTTCAGAAAGCTGTTGCGCCGCCAGCTCGTCAAGCACCCGTGCTCCCTCGCATCCCCATGGCGCATTCGTTTGTATTTTGACGGGATCGCACCGCGGGACCCGCTGGCCAAGGGCAACGACCACCGGTTTCAAAAGGTCTCTAGAGTTCGATGGGTTCTTACATGACAAAAACGCATGGTCCGTGCTCAGCACCGCTCGGGTTGCCAACGTGAGGGACATGCCTGGAGGGATCGAGCAGTCAGTTGCAATGGTGTGCAACGAGCTCATGTTCAAAACGTCTGGCGGGGTGAGAATTCGTACGACTGGAATTATCCTGGACGTGCCAGATGCAGGGGATGCAACAGGGCACGCGACTATGGTCGCGAGGTTGGGCTGCACTGTGGGCGGCGAGGAAGCCCTGCGAGAATTCCACATGAACAAAAGGCACGCGGGCACCAAACCGCGTGCCGTCTGCAGAGACGCCCTCAACCAGAAGTACGACTATGCGTCACGCGACACGTCTGGTACATTTATATCGGACGCCTGCCTCGACAAAAGCAAACGCGTCGCCGACGCAGACGCGCAGATCGTTGCGATCCTGGAAAGGCTACGCCCCGACTGGGAGAGGTACGACCGCGGTAAGGTTAGTGACGGCAAGTGCAAGGAGATCACGCAGCTAAAGGGTTTGAAATTTCATCCGACGCACATTGCCTTGGGCGCCAACCTTGCCTACAAGATCATGTCCCTCCTCTGTTTCGACTGGATGCACGTATATTGCGTCAGCGGCATCATAGCTCGCGAAGTGAAAGCTTTCACTGAGAACAAGGCGGTTGGTAACCCTGCAGCGCCGATGATCTCCACGACTATTGATCGAAAGGAACATGGCCACAAAAGTTTCATACCGCCAATGCCGTGTTCGCACAGGGCGAACTACAGGCAAGCGCATCGCAAGAGCTGTCTATGATGCCCGTGCTGGCGCGTTTCATCCGGCAAGTCGTTGCCAAGCTGCCTGATGCAGGCACCAACTCGGTTCATATTGCAAGTTTCCTTGCGCTGTGCGATGCCGTTGATATGGTGATTCTCTCGGCCAGGGGCCTCGTGACTGCACGTGAGCTCGATGGCGCAGTGGTGAAGCATTTTGACCCGCACGAGCGCACCTACGGGACGCAATATTGGGTTTACGAGCACTATATGGCAACTCATCTTGCCGACACGTACGTCAAATTCGGACCCATGAACTGCTTCGTCCACAAGCGGAAACACAACGTTCGCCAGAAGTTCGCGAAAGGACCAGCTGTGCATGAGGACCCAGGAAAAGTCATTGATGATGCAGCTCACGGCGCAGCACAGTTACGACCTACAGCACTTCAGCATCTCAACGGCGCTGGTCGACCCCGTAGACGCCAACAGGAAGCTCATGAGCGTCTTGCAGGAGTTGCGTCCGCAGACGCAATCGGAACCATCGAACCTCACGGCGTGGACCAAGTACGGGCCGATCCACAGAGGAGACATATGCTTGCTGGGACATGCTGCAGGACATGCAGCCGTGCAGGTCTGGTTCCATTTAGAGTGTGGCACAGAGACTACGCCCTCAGGGCCTCTATGCTTAGTCTTGGAATTGCAGATTCGGCACGTGCACAGCGCAGAGCACTATTCTAGGTACTCCATCGACGAAGATAATAATCCCGTGCCCGTTCCTTTGCACACGCTAAGGCACGCTGTGAGTAACAGGTGGCCCAGCGATGCAACCACTTGCATTTGGTCAGTGGAGTATCACAAATTAGAATGCCAGCGACACGCTTGCGATGCAGACTTACATCTTCACATCAATGAATAACAGCTTCAAATCATCACGCAAGAAACACAACATCGAATTGGAAACGACATTGGGCGTCCCAAACATCCAGCATACGTTACCCAAAAACCCATCATGTTATCCGAACTAAATCAACATGCTAACTTTGCTGAGTTATAACTGAGTTATGACTCCGCCTAACAGTTACGAACTTTCAATTCCTTCAGGTAGTCACCTCCACTCTTTGCCAGCCCCGATCTTCGGGAGGAGGGCTCATGGCGATGTCCATATGGGCTTCTGCAGCTCAAAAATCAATCCGTCTTGTGATTGACATTTTGCAAATTCAAGCCTCGAAAATCCATCACAAACGGCATTTCAGATTTCACCCTTTGCCCTCCACCCAAAGAACATGCTCGGGTTTCGCTGCTATGGACATCAAGAAACATGACGTCGGGGGTCTGGGTAGTGGGAGGAGGGAAGGCTTCTCAGAAGCATCCCTGCTGCTTAGAAGGCGCGGGACTTGCCTGTGTGTAGGGCCTGCACTGCGCCCTTGCAACATCGCCAACATCTATAAAACAATTATCCCAGTGCGACCCTACCTAGGAGTTGGAGCCCCTAGGAAAGCAGCATCAGTAGTAACAGTAAAGCTAAGCTAAAGCTAAGCTAAAGCTAAGCTGAAGCTAAGCTAAAGCTAAGCTAAAGCTAAGCTAAGGCTAAGCTAACACTAAGCTAGAGCTAAGCTAAAGCTAAGCTAACACTAAGCTAACACTAAGCTAACACTAAGCTGAAGCTAAGCTAAAGCTAAGCTAAAGCTAAGCTAACGCTAAGCTGAAACTAAGCTAAAGCTAAGCTACATCTAAGCTAACACTAAGCTAAAGCTAAGCTAAAGCTAAGCTAAAGCTAAAGCTAAAGCTAAAGCTAAAGCTAAGCTAAAGCTAAAGCTAAGGCTAAAGCTCCCAGGGGACTGGGGGAACCGCGGGGCGGGGACTGGGGGAACCGCCCGGGGCGGTTTACACTGCCCAGCCCCTTTAAGCTAAGAGAGTAAGAACCCTTCTAGGCAGAGCCTAGGTAGTGAAAAAGAACAAACTACTTACCTGAGCCCAGGACCCCATCTTCTGCCCCAACTTTTCGAGCCGGATTCTGGAGTCCCGAAACGGTGCGGTGACAGACCGCGCGATGACCTCGAAACAACCCAAGACCTCACCGCACGGCCCGTCCACACGCGGTTTTGGGACCTCGCATGCCCCAGTCGCCCGAGACGCCCTCGGAGAACGACCCGAGTCCCAAAACCGTGCGGTGACCCCGAATCCCCGCCGACTCACCACACGGCTTGGGGGCCCCGGACGGATCCATCCGCGAGGGCCCCGGGGCCCGGCGCGGTGCGAGAACGCTCGTCGAGGAGGACATGGCAGCGCCAGGCCCTCAGAGGGCCGCCGGCGGCGGCGCGGGGCGGCCTCGAGGTCTGCCAGGGGCCGTACGGGGAGCCCGCGGTGACGGACTCGTTGAAGGCGCGGTCGCCGCCGCTGCAGGGCACCACGGGCCTCGGCTCACCTGTGGGGCGCGGCGCGCCTGCTAAACCTGACGAAGCCGGTGGCCTTCACCAAGTTTCGCCGATCGCTCGTTTGAGGCGCCGATGGTTCGTGTCCGAAGCCCGAGGAGGGAAACCATGCCGAAGCCATGGCAGACCATGTCGGTAGCTTGTCTCAGGAGCCGACGCCTTGTCTCAGGAACCCGAGGAGGAAAAACATGCGGCATGAACACGCAGCGGGGGAACCCCTTGTCTAAGGAACGCGCGGCGGGCGGAGCAGGAATTCTAGCCAACAACTCCTGCTCCGCCGACCGCGTCCATTTCACCCTGCGGCTCGTGGTGCCTCCCGTGAGGCCGCGAGAGCGGCGTCACCCCAACCTGCCGATGCTATGTGTGCCACACACATACACGCACGCACGCACGCACGCACGAACGCACGCACCCGCATGCACATCTCCTCCTCCTCCTCCTCCTCCTCCTCCTCCTCCTCCTCCTCCCCCCTCCCTCCTCCCTCCTCCCTCCTCCCTCCTCCCTCCTCCCCTCCTCCCTCCTCCCTCCTCCCTCCTCCCCTCCTCCTCCCTCCTCCCTCCCCTCCTCCTCCCTCCTCCCTCCTCCTCTTCCTTCTCCTCCTCCTCCTCCTCCTCCGCCTCCTCCTCCTCCCAGAGCGGCACTTCGCTCAGGGAGAAAAGTCCCTGAGGAAACAAGTCCTGGTCCCTGGGGCTTGCACCAGGACCAGCTTTTCCCTGAGGTCCGACGTCGCGAAAAAACACAACATCGCGAATAATCGCGACCCGAGGCCTACCTATACCCCATCGTTCTGCGGCCATCTGCGAGTCGGATCGGTATGTGGTGGTTCTGGGGCACAACGCCTGGCGAAAACTCCACAAGACAACGTAAAATCTATAATTGTCGGACTGGTTACCCGTGCGACATGACTGAATAATATATGTATATATATATATATATATATGCACAGGTGTGTATGTATATAGGTATATATGGAAACATGCATATGACAAGTTGTATAATTGTGTGTATATATATACATATATATGTATGTGTGTACCTTTGCACATGTATATTTACACGCTGCGCTTCACCGCAAGCGTGTCCCACTACAGAATGCAGTGGGCATGCTCCTGGCCCCGATACGACCCACCCCGCGGCGGTTCGCCGAGCGCTGGCGTGGTCCCTGCGGAGCAGCCGCCAGTGCAGCCTCCGGGGGTCGGGCGCCGCCGGGGCCCCCTTCCGTGGCGAGCCCCTGCCGCGAAGAGGCGCCCGCCGCCGCCGCCGCCGCGGTCGTCGCCGTCGTCGTCGTCGTCGTCGTCGTCGCCGTCGTCGCCGTCGTCGCCGTCGTCGTCGTCGTCGTCGTCGTCGCCGTCGTCGTCGTCGGCGTCGCCGTCGTCGTCGTCGTCGGCCAGAGGACCTGAGCTTTATGAGGGCGGACGGCGGAGGGGTGCCAGTGCTGGTCGCGGGGCGCTCCCCCGGGGGCAGCATTCCTTGGCGGCGCGCACAGGGGTCGGCTACACGCAAGAATGACCCTGTGTGACAATGACCTCTGGTGCGCGGCTTCCTGGGGGCCGCGGGGGGGGGGGAGGGCAAAACGCAAACGCGCAAGACGCAACTGTCGCACCGCGCTCGGCGATCGGGGGACCTCTGTGGGCCCGCACAGAAAGGTCACTCCGGCGCGAAGGGTCACTTTTGCGTGAAGCCGAAAAAGGTATAGGGGGAGGGGGGCGGGCTTCCCAGGAGGACCCACGAGGGGAAAACGAGGGAAGGATAGCAGTATGGGTACCCTCTCCTCCTCTGAATCCCTGGGGCCCAACGGAGAGGTCCCCAGAGGCCCCGGAGGCCCCTCCTCCTCCTCCTCCTCCTCCTCCTCCTCCTCCTCCCTCCTCGCTCCTCCCTCCTCCCTCCTCGCTCCTGCCCTCCTCACCTCCTCCCTCCTCCCTCCTCCCTCCTCCCTCCCATCCCTCCTCCCTCCTCCCTCCTCCCTCCTCCCTCCTCCCTCCTCCCTCCTCCTCCTCCCTCCTCCCTCCTCCCTCATCCTCCTTCCCTCCCTCCGCTCCTCCCTCCTCCCTCACTCTCCCTCCTCCCTCCTCCTCTCCCTCACTCCTCCTCCTCCTCCTCCTCCCTCCTCCTCCTCCTCCTCCTCCTGCCTCTCCTGCTCCCCTGCTCCTCCTGCCTCTCTGCTCCTCCTCTCCTCCTCCCCTCCTCCTCCTCCTCCCTCCTGCCTCTCCTCCTCCTCCTGCTCCTCCTCCTCCTCACTCCTCCTCCTCCTCCTCCTCCTCCTCCTCCGCCTCCTCCCCTCCGCATCCTCCTCCTCCTCCTCCTCCTACTCCATCCTCCTCCTCCTCCTCGATCCTGCCTCTCCCTGCCCCCCCTGCCTCCTCCTGGCTCTCCTGCTCCTCCTCCTCCTCCTCCTCCCTCCGCCTCCTCCCCCTCCTCCTCCTCCTGCTCCTCCTCCTCCGCCTCATCCTCCCTCCTGCCCTCCTCCTACTCCGCCTCCTCCTCCTCCTCCTCCTCCTCCTCTTCCTTCTCTCCTACCCGCCTCCTCCGCCTCCGTCCTCATCCTCTCCTCCTCCTTCCTCCTCTCCTCCTCCTCCTCCTCCTCCTCCTCCTCCTCCTCCTCCTCCTCCTCCTCCTCCTCCTCCTCCTCCTCCTCCTCCTCCGCCTCCTCCTCCTCTCCGCCTCCTCCTCCTACTCCTCCTCCTCCTCTCTCCTCCTCCTCCTCCTCCTCCGCCTCATCCTCCTCCTCCTCCTCCGCCTCCTCCTCCTCCTCCTCCTCTCCTCCTCCTCCTCCTCCTCATCCTCCTCCCCGTCCTCCTCCTCCTCCTCCGCGCCTCGCCTCCTCCTCCTCCTCCTCCCTCCTCCTCCGCCTGCCTCCTCCTCCTCCTCCTCCTCCTCCTCCTCTCTCCTTCCTTCGAGCGGACTCCGCGCCGTGGGCCGCGGAGCAGTGCGCCCAGCGCCCGCTCCGTGCATCTGCGCGCGTGCCCGACGGCGCCAAAGGGGGGTCGCAGCCAGAGGGGGTCTTCTTTGAAGGGGCCCCGGGACACACACACACACACACACACACACACACACACACACACACACACACACACACACACACACACACACACACACACACACACACACACACACAAACACATCAATAGACACAAATGACAGGATTCCCCAAGTTTTCCCATATCTTCTGGGTTTGGGTCTTCCCCCCCACTTCCCATATAATCCCATATGTTCCTGGGAGTCGACGATTCCTTGCGCCTGTGTGCTTCTTTCCCTCCTGATTCTTGGGCATGCCGCGGGAGCGAGCGCTCGCAGCGTCGCCGCGGGCCTGTGCGCCGCGGGCCCCAGACTTTGCGGCGCGCAGATTCGGGTGACCCAAAAGGGGGTCCAGCTGAACGGGGGTGGTGCAATACATTTGGGGCAAATGTATTGCAAACGTACTGCGCCGGAGAATTGTATCGCATCGTGTTGCAAGTGACGTGTTGCACGCGAAAATACAGCAATACAGTTGCGCCCCGAAATGTATCGCACGCCCCAAATGTATTGCAACCCCACAAATCTATTGCACCAGATCTATTACACCACCCCCTTGTCGCTGGACCCCCTTTTGGGTTAACCCGAGCAGAGGGGGGTAGGGGGGGAGGGGGGAGGGTTTCTTGAAGGGCGCTGTTTCTTCGGGGGCGCGGGCCCTACATCTACAGACAAGGCCCGCGCCCTCAAAGAAGCAGAGGTGTTTCCGAGAAGCCGCCCCCCTTCCCTTCTACCCCCTTCTGCGCGTGGCTGACCGACACCACTCCCGCCACACAAGCAACCGATGGGAGAGACAACGATGATCCAAAAACAGAACACAACAAGACAGACACGCCGCAGAGTATCGTTTATCCGATCCCTATCCGGGCCCAGTGGCCGATTTACCCCCCTAGATGGGGATACAGGCCGTTCCCTTCGGGTTTCGAGGGGTGTATCCCCAACTGGGGGGTAATTTGATGGGGTCTCGAAGGGGATACGGATGGGAATTGGGGTCGGTTGAACGACACTGAGCCTCCAGACCACAAGCGCGAACAAAAACAGGGTGATGGGCAACATGCTTTGGGCCAATAGAGGTCGCCACCCCCTCTCAAGGAAGCGGACACCCCTTTCGACCACCCAGGACCCCCCAGGACCCCCAATGACGCACAGAAACAATTCGATCCTCGATCGTCCCCATCCTCGATCTCCAGTAAGATGTGGTGACCCCCTTGGCGGTATGCCCTTCACCCCCCACGGGCGGCCCGAAGTGGCGTGCTGAAAAGCAGCCACTGCGCCACCAGCAGGACCACCGATTGGAGAACGGAGCGGCCTCCTGGCCACGGCGAGGCCCCGCCGAAGGATCCTCGACATACTTCTGCCGGCGTCGCGGCCCTGTGGGCGGCGACAAAGCGGAGAAGGTAGCTCAGCAGCGAATGCGCACGGGCGACCAAGCACGCCCGAACATGCAGAAACCGGCTAGGGTTCAGCAGCAAACAAACGCTGCAAAACATGCGGGCGTGGATCCTCGACAGGCTCTTATACGCGGGCGGCCCCATAGCTGGAGCTCAGAATGGGCTTGTTTTCGACCGACAACCCGGTACGGGCAGCGAACCGACCGCCAAGCTCGAACACCCTGCGGCCCTGAGCAAAGCCCCCAGAGCACGATCTGATGGGCCGACTTCCCACCATCATCTACGCCAAGTAGGAGGAGGAGGAGGAAGAAGGAAGAGGAGGTGGATGGGGGAAAATTTGAGACTAGAAATGAAATGTTGTTGTCCGTAGAAGGAAAATGCATAGCGATGTACACCAAATGTAGAGCGGGAGCGGTAAAGGACCCTTGAGATCCGATGCGGCAGTGGAAAGGGCAATGTGATAACGGGACGAATCCGTCGTACTTCACAAAGTCAAACCGACAGCTGCAGAAACAGCTATACTGACCGCCCTTCTCAAAAAAATGCCTGGGATGGGCTCACCTGGATTCGGCAGCCCATGGGTTGGCGACCCCAGTTCATCCCAAGGGCACATTGGCACCCCACGACGCCAAACGCAGAAACGTTTTACGACACCAATGGAAGGGACGAGAACAATCCCGCCAAAGCCCGTGGGACTAGCCGAAGGAGGCCAGTCACGCCCCCACCACCTGGCAACATGTGAGACTTTTAAGGAGCATTGCCAAAACAATCGCAAGCTGCCGAGCGAACCCGCTCTAAGCAAACGCGAGCTGCATGGACGCAGTCCAAGCGAGCCCGGTCACTTAAGCGCTCTACTCGTCAGTCTCGCATGTGGATGGCCGCGTGCGTTGGAACTCGCATCCCACCACCAATGGGCCAATGCGGCCCTTGGAAATATATCCGCGTTCCGACTCCGCGTGACCTCGTGACGCAGTCGCAAGAGTCACCTCCTCATTCTTGCGTGAGTTAGCTATGCTGTGAGCTCGGGGCGGTCTTCTTCGGCTTATACTCGCTGAACTTGACCGTGGCGTGGTCAAAGCTGATCTGGCCGTCCATCGCGCTGAGGATTAGCTCTCGGCCCATGTTTCCATTGGTCATGGAGTCGGCCCGCGTGTCCCGCGTGTCGCGCCTGTGCAAGTCGTCGGTCGGCTCTGCGTGCAGCTGGTCGGCCAACCACAACAGGTGGCCAACCATGCTGTTCTCGGGCGGCGACCAGACCTGGCCCGTGAGCAGGGCGCAGAAGACGGACGCGCCGTCTTTGACGATGTCAGCAAGGATCATGCCACCACCATCCCCCCCAGCCGCCTGATCTCCTCGGCAGAGGCGCGGGCCGTGTGCCATCTCGCGCGACGCGAGGAGGTGCCCCTGCAAGACGTCGGCCGCGCCGCGTGCTGCGAGCAGCTCGGAGCCGAATGAGGATATGCGCGCAAGTTTGTGCGATCGGCTCACTTCGCCCAGCAGGTAGCGCACATGTTTGCAGGCGCGGCGGCACTTGCCGAGAAGCACGCATGCGGCTCCTCTCATGCCGCACCCTGACTCCTCCTCTCCTCTGAATGACCCAGCGCTGCGCGCGCTCAGTCGCCGTGCACACTCCATCGGTGAAAGTGCAACGCGTGTTTGTATCCTCTGCGCGGCGAGAACAATGGAATTGAGCTGCATCGCGCGTCGGATGAGCAGCTAGGTCTCGGCTCTTTGCAGGGCGACGATGCACGCCGCAACGTGGTTCTGGGCGAGCAGGGCGTAGGCC